TACACGGAGAAGAGGAGGGGACCAAGAACAGAGCCACTCTTCCCAGCTCCATCCATCACCATTCTCTGTTCCTGCAGGTCCTGCTTGCTAATCAATGCTCATATGTTTTTACACAATTACAAATAAAGTCAATGAATTGTATGACATGAAGTTGTGCTTCATTCGGAGTCAATAATAAATTAATTCTGCCTTCATTCATTCTGCCTTCAACTGCACAATGATTGTGGACTGCACCGACATCCATGTAGCTGCCCCCCAGTAAGATGAACCAAGCAAAGAGGGTCACCATCATGCCCAAGGACATCCAGCTGGCCCGCCGCATCCGCGGAGAGAGGGCTTAGACTGACCTGAGACCAGCACACCCAAACACAACGGCTCTTTTAAGAGCCACCTACAGTTTCAAAGAGTTGCAATCCTACGTTATTATAATGATTAAACTGGTTCATGTATCACTTAGTTTACTGAACCGTGATGAATGAAAGAAATTAGTGAGGTAGTGGTTTACTGAAGTTACAAAGACATTAATATATGAGTAACAGGTCAGTGTAAACACAAGCTTCTGTCAATTATGGATCATTCAAACTATTTATATAAAAATATGTAATAAAGTTCTAAAACAAGTATTCGGTATATTCCTTGATAGCTTTTGGAGAAGGTTGTTTTTAAGTTTACTAAAATCTATCGTTTCAACTGTTTCACTTTATAAAAAGGGAACAGGTGAGTAGAGCAGCATTGAGTTTCTTATTCTGTCAGTAAATTATCCAAGTGAAATGTTTTTCATTATTTTAGTCAACTCTAAACAAATTGATTGTACCTTTTAATAATGACCTTACATGGTCGGCAAAGTTAAATTAACTTCAGAAAATCAAATCTGTTCTGAGAAAAAACTAATACATGTTTAAAGATAGGAACTTGCCATCCCACTGAAAAACAGTCCGTAGAGATTTAAAGGCGTAGTTGTAGTTCAGTCCAACGTTTCATTTGGATTCATTTGACAACAGTCAACTATTTTCATAAAGAATATATATATTTTTCAAAGTCAACTTTATTGTCAATCTTACTCAGTTTGTGTTTATAGACAGAGAGATCAAAAAGACATTTAAATACAATTATACAATTTACAGATATGTATACAAATATATATATCCTATATACACCATCATGTATAATGATGGTGTATGATGTAGAAGGAAGTGTGGTAGATAACAAGTAAGGCCCAATCCCAAACCACTCCCTCGACCCTACCACTCCGTGATGGAGTGAACTCCGTCTGTAGCCACACTCGCAGCTCAACGAGGCTCCCTCCTGTCAGATGGAGGGAGTAAATACAGCAGCAAGCTTTGGGACGGCCTCCCCTCTCTCCGGCAGAAACAGGAAATGCCGTAACTGTATGTAACAACGGTTTCAAATCAGCATCTCTTAGACAAAAAATGTAAATTAATAACTCAAATAAAACTCCAAACATCTTTCATTGTGTTACTTTTTTGTAAAGCTCTTTTAGTTTTAAACCTGATGTTTATAAGCTTCTTAGTTTTTGCAACAGTCTGTAAATGTACACAACTTTATAATAAAATGCGCACATTTACCTTTTTCTAGACTAAACACAGGTATGATCCTAAGTTAAAACATATGAGGTTATCATGAGGTTGTTAACATCGCAGTTTATCAGTGGATGTTTGCTGGAACTACTTGTAAACAGCTTGTTTCCTGACGGACACACACAGCGTTGAGACCGGTCAGGTAGAGACCGGTCTCAAGTCAGCACCGCTGCAGACTCAGTTGTTTGAGGGCTTGATAGCCCACTCCCCCTCCACACCGCTCCACACTCGTTGGTTTGGAACAGCCCTCAATATGGCGGACCCTCCGCGTGAACGCGCAAACGGAGGGGTAGGGTGTAGGGGGCGGTTTGGGAATGGGCCTAAATATAGAGTTACATACAGATCCATGTTACAGCAAAAGATGGAATAACTAAGAAGCACGCAGTATAATAATAATTACATGCAACAATTAAATAACTGCTCAGCATCTCCACCACAATCCCAATCTGCTGTGTCCTGTTATCCTCCCCTCTGCATAACACCCCATCACACATACCAAACACAACGCAGAGTCCGAGGGTGTTAAGAGTATGTTTATTTAAATGTCCTCCTCTCTACTGGCCAACACAGGGAGCATATGCTGGGTGTAGAAGTTCTCCAGGAGGAGGAGATTTCCATGCCATGCAGGGTCTTTGGGGATGGGGATGATGATCGCCTCCTTCGTGGTCCACACAACAAAGTAGCAGAGACTCCGGTCTGTGATGTGCAGCTGCCCTTGGACCTGGTGCCAGTATGAGTGATTCTCCTTGAGAATATATGACCCACCCTCCTCACGAAGACAGAAGGATGGTAACTGGACTGCCTCCGTGATGGTCATGTTCCTCTGGCTGTGTGGACACTTCACCTCCAGTAGGGCAGATGGCTGCACAAGTCCATCGGGTGATGCTCCCAAAACACCCGACTCACTCACAAAGAGACCAGACTCGATTCTAACACTGTCACTTGATAGGCCTCCACAAAAGCCTTCACCCCTTCGGCCTCGTTTACAACCCCCCAGTTGACAGTTGACGATGTCTCTGGCCAGTGGGTTGTATGTCTCCTCTCGCTGTTGGTAAAGTTGAGACACCGGCTGGACTACTTTTTAAGTGCCAGGCTTCCTCCACTGGCACTCAACATCTGTGGAGCTGATCTGCCACATGGCAAATATTGCCAATGCTGCAACGTGGCTGCATTTGTACATCCCCTGTGCACAATCACAGACAGCGCTCTGCATCGCGCCATTGTCTCCCATGCAGATCTGTAAAAATAAAGTAAGTACCATTTGTTAGCATGCTATAATAGATTGAATGAGCAATAATACAAGGATGGTCCGGATCTGGGGGTGGGAGGGTTTATTTTTCCATAGTTTTGTCCTCTTGTCTGATTGTTGTTATTGTTTGTTTTTTCTGTATTTTTTGTAATTTGAGCTGTATTGGTTGTGATTGTACATTGTATTTTTCTAAATGTGTATGAATACATTTTTGAAAAACATTTGATCAACAATAAAAAAGGATTTGGTCAGGATCTAGACTCAGTGTGTAGTTTATTAATTAATCAATGCTCTCTACATTAGGAAAACACATACCAGTGTACCAGAGGGAGTCACACACAGCTGTGCCTAGATAACCAACATCCTGGAATCTACACACAGCAAATAAACTCAAATGACACAACGAGAAAAAGGAGATCACACATACAGTATAGTCGATATAAAACTGGCCGCTTCAATCTGAAGAGCAACTAAAACAAAACACGGGAGTGTACCTTGTTCTTGTGAACACTAATGTTATCCACAGCATACACAGAGACCACGAATTTCTTAAGGAGAAAACTAGTTACTAAAACAAAACACGTTAGTGTACCTTGTTAGCTAATGTTAGCTAGCTGACATTAACGTTACACATTGCACTCATATTACTCACCGAAACCTTGTAAAGCCGGTCCCGCTGCTCTTACAGAACCGACTAACTCCCCTTTCGTGTATGTACAGCTCTCAACATGCCCAGACTTGAAGTGATGTTCACCTCGTTTTATACTTTTCGACTCATTCTGAAAGAAACAGGTGATATTTGCTAACGTGACGGCCGTCTTTGTGATGGTGACGCGTTTTGTGCGAGACCAGAGACCTGTAGTTCACTGAGCGGTTTCACACAAAAAAAAGTGTAACTTCACAGTTTTACGACACATTTTAATTTTTTTGACTTGTAAAATGTTCTTTTAAATTGACAAACATCATATGTGTCATTCGTGGCACAATTCAAACGGGATCAAAAGATAACCTTTCTCTCTCCATTGACTTCAATGTATAATTTTCCGCTTCCGGGGTCCCATGGAGGCTCCCGGAAGGGGAGGGACTTCGCCTCTCTATAGCTCCAACGATCCATCACACAAACACACACACACACACACACACACACACACACACACACACACACACACACACACACACACACACACACACACACACACACACACACACACACACACACACACACACACACACACACACACACACACATACACACACACACACACACACACACACACACACACACACACACACACACACACACACACACACACACACACACTTTGTATTGTATTATTGAGAGGTTCCAGGTTGAATTGAGGCGAATATTTGTAATGTTCAGAGGTTGTTGTGTTTAATATTCATGAGAATTGTTGTCATTGTTCAAATGATAATAAACATGTGCATAAAGCATATTTGTCCACTCATATAAGAGTATTAAAAACTTGAAAAATATTCCTCTAAGGTACATTTAGAACAGATAAAAAATGTGCGATTAATTTGCGATTAATCGCGATTAACTATGGACAATCATGCGATTAATCGCGATTACATATTTTTAATCGACTGACAGCCCTAATTAAAATACATCCTGCTCGCTGCAGCCCGAGGTACCCAGCACGTGTCAGAACTTCAGAAATATGCGTTGGTCTCGCGACACTTTAACAAACAATCGATGCAGCTCGTGGGATAAACAGTTTATGAGGCAGCTGTTTTGTAGTTTGTTGTCAGCAACGTAAGGCTAGTCCCCACAGACTCACATACATAGAAATGTGTTAATAGTTATCTCAGCATTAACTGAATTATTTGATAAAAACCGTAGCCTTACTACAGGCTGATATTAGGAGTCGCTAAACATATCGTAGTAGCAGCCTGCATAGACTTAAGGGAACATCGTTGTCCACAATCATAAACCTTCTCCAGCAACTGTGTTTGTGCAACATAGCTTGAGAATATTCCAACACGATAATAGCAATGAATTTGGATATAAATAAACGTGAAATTAGTTCACGGTGGCTGAGAAAAACAACCGGTCTGGCAACCAGAAAACACTCCGGAATGAAGGAGGGGTCAGCGGGACAAAGTTGAGCACCGCCCCGGGTTGAGTGGGTGAACCTTGTCACACACTTCACATGAATAAAATTCATTTCTCTGCCTCTCCGTGACACATGCCTCCTGCGTTGTGGTCTCTGCAAAAATGTACATTTGGTTCACCGTTTTAGCCGGACTGGCTCTTCTGTCCCTCTCCTTCATCAGGACACTTTTCCCGTACTTAGGCGATGACTGCGCGTACATCCTGAGGAGCATTAAACTCGGCATCAGGCTCACCAAGTACAAGAAAGGCAAACAGTTTTACAGCGTCTTGGACTGCTTTTTGGATGCAGTGAAGAGCCATCCGAATAAGATCTTTGTGCACTTTGAAGGGCGGGAGTATACGTATGGAGAGGTGGATAAACAGAGCAACAAGGTGGCCCGGGCTCTGCAGACTGAAGCCCGGCTGAAGGAGGGGGATGCGGTCGCCTTGTTTCTGGCCAACGAGCCCAGTTTCATTTGGACTTGGCTCGGTTTGGCCAAGCTGGGCTGTCCGGCTGCTTTGCTCAACGTTAACATCAGATCAAAGTCTCTGCTGCACTGTTTCTCCTGCTGCGGGGCAAAAGTGATCATTGCTTCTGAAGGTGAGTTGCAGAAAGATGGTAAAAGTGTCAGGGGGGCGCATACAATGAGAGTGGGGGTCTTCGGGTTTTCCAGTTAATCTGTAAGCGTGCACAATAGTGCAAAGTACAAAGGCCAACAATGAGGTACAAGTACTTTCAGTGTTTACATTTTGTGCAACTTCCAGTGTTGCCTTTACTCAAATGCTGTGCTCCAATCACAGTTTGGAGATGATTGAACTAAGTAGTACAGTACTTTGATTGTATGCTAATTCATTATACTACATGTTTAGTACCAAATTAGTACCATATGATAATTTCACATATTCTTTTTATTGATCGAATTACTGGAAAATGCTATGGAATATTCAGATTTGTGGATCTAAGATTTTGGCCATATTTCCCAGCCCTACTTCATTACTGTATTTCCCTCTGACAGCTGTATTTACCTTGCAGGAAAGGATTTTTTTTAGCCATGCAATTTACATACATTTGATAAGATAATAAGATGATCTTATCAACATAGTGACCTTTAAGTTTTCTTCAGGTACACAACAGACAGCAGACTGCAAAGGTAGCTCCTTTGTTTTGAATTGAGCCTGAGAAACCAACCATTCCTACTTTGGGTTGTAACTTTATTAGAGAATGAAAAATAACATGAGTTGTGAGATTTTTTAATATCCTATGATTATTAATATTTTACACACACTATGTACTGTATGCTTCTCCTTCCTGAACCTTTAACACACACACACACACACACACACACACACACACACACACACACACACACACACACACACACACACACACACACACACACACACACACACACACACACACACACACACACACACACACACACACTGGGCCCGATGTTCTGTAGTGCTATTACGCCCTGTCATTTAATTATTGGGATTACTCACCGTTTTAGAACATTGTAAAACTTGTTTGCTACTGTGCTGCTACTTAAACCTAATTAACAGATCTGAGTTGATCTTCCTCTGCTGGATTACAACTCAAAGACACTTTGATTTGAATATTCTCATCAACAATAAGGCTACATATTGCATTTGTAGGTTTGTAGAGGTTCTAATCAGCCTTTATGAAGACCTTTTCCTACAGATTACAGGCTGTTAATGATCAGTTTGTTTTAGTCTGCACTACCGGTGAGAAGTTAAAACAAATGAACAGGATAAAGACTGAAAGATGTGTTAACTGTTATTATATGAAAGGCCACATTTGATAATAATGAGTTGTATCACCCAGTCCTAATCTCCAACAGTAGTTGAATCACTTTCCCTCATGGTTTCAGTTACTTCACTGTACATTCAGTCCTGGATACTGGGTTCATTTGAGGCACTCTGAGAACTTGTTTCTCCGCTCTCCCACTTTAGAGCTAGAGTTCCCCCCCAGGAGAAATACACACATTTAGGCTGAATATCCTGCACCATGTGCTCGTGTCCCAGTGGGATGTGAGGTAACCCGATCCAAGCCTACATGTGCTGCATTGCGCAACACAGCGCTCTGACATTGTTGTGCAGAACTTGAATGCCTCTCTGTGTTTCAGAGCTGCAGGGAGCTGTGGAGGAGGTTCTACCGACGCTGACGGAGCAAGGCATCAGTGTGTTCCTCCTGTCAGAGGCCTGCAGCACCCCGGGAATCAACTCTTTGTCTGACAAGATCTCCCATGCCTCGGATCAGCCAATGTCCCGGGACCTCCGGGCCAACGTCACCATCAGGAGCACTGCTCTGTACATCTACACATCGGGCACCACAGGTACACCAGGAACTCCTCTGAAAACTGTAGCTAAAACTGATGCACTTTTATATCCTGCAAGTAATCCTGAGTGCTTTTGAGGGGTTTTCCTTTTGCTGAGGGTCCCCTTCAGAGAGAGTTTTCCTTTCACACACTCCCCCCCCCCCCCCCCCCCCCTGCCTGAATTCCTCCAATGGACTCCTTTGTTTACTTCCGTGACATAGTGTCAACAAGAACCCTATCTGCTCTGATTGGTTAGCCGGCCGTGTCTGTTGTTATAAGAGATGTGTCAGAAATGTCTGGCCCCTTAGCTTATCACTTACAATGTGTTGGAGCGCTAGCCAATAGAATTGAGAGTGTTCCATAGTGATGTCACTATGTTACGGTATTTAAAAAAGGAGTCCAATGGAGGCATTTCAGGCAGGGTGGGGAGTGTCAGGAAGAGAAACTCCCTCTCGGGGGATTTCAGCTTCTGCAGACCAATTACACGCACAAAAAACCTATGTAACACACTACAGGAAAGGGAAAACCCAAAAAAGCAAATTTAGAGTGCGATGTTCCTTTTTAAAATGTATTGTACTAGCTGTGCCTGTTTTATGTAAGAACCTGAGATGACTGTATTATTTGACTTCTGAAGGTTTGCCTAAAGCAGCCGTTGTCACCCATGAGAGGGTTTGGGCCGCCTCCTTCATCCAGGCAGCGTGTGGCATCACATCAGAGGACATCTTCTACATCAACCTGCCGCTCTACCACAGCGCAGGCTTCCTCATCGGGATGGTGGGAGCCATCGATAGAGGTAATATAATCCTCCTCAAACTGAAAAGCACTTACAGACAAGTGTTGGCCATTTAAGAAGCCGATGTATACTTGTATTTATGTATTTGCAGGTATAACTATTGTTCTGAAGAGGAAGTTCTCTGCCTCTCAGTTCTGGGACGACTGCAGGAAGTACAATGTGACCGTGATGCAGTACATCGGGGAAACAATGCGCTACCTCTGCAACACACCCAGGGTAAAAGTGACCTCAAACGGCTTGTTCAATTGTTAAAGTATAAATTTGATGGAAATTATGAAGCTTTTTATGTCCCTGTTTGACTCAAATCTTACTTTTTGCAGAAAGACAATGAGAGGAACCATGGAGTGAAGGTCGCCATCGGTAACGGAGCCCGCACTGATATTTGGACAGAGTTTCTGGATCGCTTCGGGGAGATTAAAGTCAGAGAGTTGTACGCTGCCACCGAGGGAAACATCGGCTTCATCAACTACACGTCCAAGATCGGAGCCGTGGGGCGGGTCAATTTCGTCCACAGGGTACGTAGAGGAATATGTTTGCAGCAATGTTTTAGTAAAGACTGAAACATCTTAATAACTATGAGATAATTTGTCATGAAAACTAGTGCAGACATTCTTGCTTTCCAATGGATTAATCCTAATAAGACTGTTTTTTCCTTAATCGCTAGCACCATTTCCTGAACTCAAATAGTTGGTTTGAAGTGTTCTTTGGATAAGGATAAGCCTACTGTACATCTAGACACTGAAAATCACAAGAAAGCTCCAGGGGTATATTTTTTGTATATGGCATTAGTCATGTTAGACCTATAAACATCGTTTATACTCTAGTAACTGTTGAAAAGAGAGTGCCTTGGACTTTTTTGTGATTTGCATGATATGTTTTATGTTGGTCATTCTTTAACTTTTTCCATTGTGCCACCATCAGTTTGGTATACATTTTCAGATTCCAAATAACCTCAATATTAATGTTGGTACCATCAGCCGAAAGCACTTTGTTATTAGTTCTACCTAGCAAATGTTAGCATGCTATCGCGCTAAACTAAGATGTTGAACATGGTTAACATTATACCTCCTTAGTATCAGCATGTTAGCATTTAGCTGAAATCCCCACTGTGTCTAAGTACATCATCACAGAGATGCTAGCGTGGCTGTTAAAGTTGTCCGACACAATATGACTCTTACTGAATAACTTTTTCTCTCGTCTAGTTTTTCTTCCCGTACACTTTGATCAAGTTTGACACTGAGAAGGAGGAACCTGTGAGGAACTCTGAGGGTCTGTGTATCGAGGCAATCGCAGGTGAGACACATTCACAGTTGAAAAAACGTATCTATTTTCTTATTGCACTTTCTTTGACATAAGACCAGCAGTTCCTCATCGTTGACTTAAAACCGCAAACTATTTCTCAATTAGTCGAATAAAATCAAGCAAATTTACAACAATATATATTTATTGTTTTTCTTTTGATTAAGCAAAAAAGTAGCTCAATAGTAGGTCAATAGCGTGACCTCGAGTCTCAGGGAAACTGTGATTGACATTTTGAATGCATCTTGTTGTCAGGTGAGACGGGGCTCATGGTGGGGAGGATCACTCAGAGGTCTCCCTTCGTTGGATACGCTGGCAACCATCAGCAGACCGAGAAGAAGAGGCTGCGTGACGTGAGGAAAAAAGGCGACCTGTACTTCAACACCGGAGATTTACTCCGGTTTGATGAGATGAACTTTGTGTACTTTATGGATCGAGTGGGTGACACTTTCAGGCAAGTAGCAACTCACTTTGTGTTGATGTGTTAGTTTTTTGTCTCTGAATAGTATGTTTTATTTTAAATGTTTCAGCACGGATACCTCAGATCTAAACAGCTCTGTGTGGAGATACCCTTCATTTTTTGGGAAGATACCTCGAAGCTGCATACAATTTAAAAGAGTCAATTCATTTTCTTTCTTCACATTTATAATACTGGCTGAATTGGAGGGTTGCAGTTACATAATTTCTAACTTTGGACTGCCCCTAGCAACTGTTTGCTCCCGGCCTCTGCAGTCAATGTGTTGATGTATCCCAGGGCTAGATACTTAACCCCGTGTTTCTCCCGATGGCATCGCCAACGGTGTGTGAATGTGTGTGAATGTTAGCTTCCTTGAGCAAGTGGCACATTTGAGGGGTCGTAAAGACTGGACATAGTGCAATTTACCCCCCATTTATACATCATAAGCTTTATTTCCATTAATTTCCACACAAATCCAGATACTGCATCTTCTTAGTTTTAAGGCAGCCTAAAAAGGAACTTATGTTGGGGGTCAAAAGCCACTGATCTCATGTCTATCTCTTTCTCGTAAACGAAATATCTTGGGAACACCTGGACGGAATTTCCTCAAATTTGGCACAAACATCCACCCGGACTCTACCGATAAAGAAGGATTAGGGGGTCAAAGGTCACTGTGACCTCACAAAACACGTTATTGGCAATAACTCATGAATTTATTTGCCAAGTTTGACAATTTGATGCAACTGTAAACTGCAGCTTGAGTTGTGAGTCAGCAATTCCAGTTTCTTAAAGTCTGGTGCTAGCCAGGTCAAGTCATTTGGGATAACATGTTGCACAAGTGTCTCTTATTTTAATTCATGATGGTTGATGTTGTTGCAGATGGAAGGGAGAAAACGTTGCCACATCAGAGGTTGCAGATATTCTCACATTGGCTAACAGCATTTTGGAGGCAAATGTCTACGGTGTTAAAGTTGAAGGTAAAAACACTTAACGAAACCACAGATTGCAGTGTAGACGACGAGGATAAATGCAGTATTCCCCTTGTTGCTTTTTCATATTTTCTGGATGTATTTAATTAAATTGTGTGTTAAGGTCACGAGGGGCGGATCGGCATGGCAGCTGTCACTCTGAAAGAAGAAGACTTTGATTGTTTGCACGCCTACAAGCAGGTCGTCAACTACCTCCCCGCGTACGCAAGACCTCGATTCATCAGGATTCAGGTAAATACATAAATGTATATGCTTTTCTGACTTTTCCCATGCACCTTCTGTCTTGTGAGGTCAAACATGATCCAACCTGGTTTTGATTTGACCTCTTTTGTTTGTTTCTGAACCTCTCTGTTCTGTTCAGATCAGGTCACCCTTTTAAACTTGGATATCTGGATCTAGATTTTAAGACTTTTACAATCAATAGTATTTGGCATCGCCTCTTATCCAGCAAACAAGCTCTACTTGTTGGAGGTCGTTGTGGCTGTACTCTCTAAGGAGAACTACAGACACTACTCAGGTCTGAAAGAATGCCCTCAACTCCTCTGCATTCTTTGGTAGAAATAAAATCCTTTTTATTCACAGATATTTCTCCCCAAAAGGGGCTGGAACTGATCATCAGTCAAAAATATAAAACAGTATAAGACAAGGCTCTTAGTAGTGAAGTTAGATATGAAACATTATTGAGTTTTCAAGTATGTTTTTGACCTTGGAAATAATACTTTAAAAATAACAATAATATTAATCGAAAAGTATTATGTCTACATCAATGAAATTATACGTGATCATCGGGTTAGTGCATTATATTATGCAGCAATATATGTAACCTTTTGTATGAAAGCCATTTCAAACATCACTGTTATTTACTTACTATTTAAACAATTTTTTATTTAAGAAACTTCATTATTACACCACATCTGATACCTAACCTACACCCATGTTGCAACTGAGAGTCAGGATGTCTGATGTTACTGATAACAGATCTGCTATCAGTGCTCTTGTTTTCCCTAATTTAAAATATGTACACTTCACTGCGAGGAACTGGCTGGATGTTATAGCTTAACATGAGACTTCTGTGGTGTTACAAATAGAGTCAGCTGCCTGCATGTGTGAGGTGTGAAATGTGGATCTGTGACTCCTGGCTGTTACCCGATACGCTCATTATGCGTCCCTCGAGTGTCGTTCATTGTTTCGTTGTTTGCTTTCAAATATAAGAGAAAACTATTTTTAAAGATCCCCCCATGTGTCTTGTAGCCCTGCCTGGAGATGACTGGGACGTTCAAGATGAAGAAAGTGAAATTGGTGGAGGAGGGATTCGACCCGGCTCACATCGAAGATCCTCTGTACTTTTTAGATCCGGAGAAGAAGTCGTACGTTCCCCTGACGGAGGAAATCTACAGAGCGATCGGTGCAAGGGAAATCAAACTCTAACCTCATCATTGAACAAGACGATTGTTTACAAAGATGCAACATTTCATTCATGGAGCTTGTTTATAAAAATGAACTAATCTCAGGAACGGACGGACTATGAAGCGTTACGTCATGTTTCAATAACCTAATTTTACTAACATTTTTGATTCCTCAAGTTGACCTCAGCTCTAAATCTCAAGAATATGAAAGTCATTTACACTAACTGTTTGTCTCTTTTTTGATTTAAATACCCCTTTTAGATCAAATATGTCTACCTCCCGAATATAGAAAATTGTGCAAATCACCATTAAATCCTTCTGTTGACCCGGAAAGATCTTTAAGCTGTTTTAAATTAAACATATTAACGTTTTTTTCTTACTTCCCCTCGCAAGGTAAACTTCCTTTTCAGCAGTTTCTTACCCAAGCTGTACGATGTGAAAAATAAATGCTGCCCATATCTTTTCTGCGGTTTGTTTGATATATATTTTGTCCGGCGAGACATTCATCCACAGTCATATGAGAGCTGGATTGTAAAGAAATTGCGATCCCCGGACCAACTCTTCCCATACATCCTGTACCACAAAGCGTACGAAACAGGCGAAAACATGGAGTATCTTCAGATACATGTTTACTTGAATATATTATATATTATAAGCAATCCTACACTTGGACACTCAGGCCAAAAGGAGCGACTCAATGTAGGCTTGCAAGTGGGAAACATCCAAGATTTTGAGGGAAGAAATCTTTATGACTTTCCATATTTAACGCGTCCACTCCCGACTTTGAGAGAGCAGAGGAGCGTCGATCGTTAAGAGTCTCTCTCATCACCTCCACAGCGTAAGACTCCTCTGTTTCTGTCACTGCCGAAGAACCACAACTAAACCTCATTGGCAGAAAATGTGAATATCCAGGGTTTCAAGTAGAGATATGGCAGGTTAGGGCCCTAAATATTATAATAGTGCATGTGGTAATTACCTGAAAATCAGCCTTGACAAATGTGTGTGAAATGATTATATTCTTGTACATTTTATAAATTAAACAGATTGACCCCCAAATAAGAAAAAGTGTAAAATTGTTATTTCAAGTACTTATATACAGTTGCAAGAAAAAGTATGTGAACCCTTTGGATTCTCCACACATAGCGTTGTGTGTTCCTTCCAAACAACTCAACTTTGGTTTCATCTGTCCACAGAATATTTTTGCCAGTAGTGCTGTGGAACATCCAGGTGCTCTTTTGCAAACTTCAAACGTGCAGCAATGTTTTTTCTGGACAGCAGTGGCTTCCTCCGTGGTGTCCTCCCATGAACTCCATTCTTGTTCAGTGTTTTACGTATCGTAGATTCGTCAACAGAGATGTTAGCAAGCATGTGCCAGAGATTTCTCTAAGTCTCTAGCTGACACTCTAGGATGCTTCTTCACCTCATTGAGCATTCTGCGCTGTGCTCTTGCAGTCATCTTTACAGGACAGCCACTCCTAGGCAGAGTAGCAACAGTGCTGAACTTTCTCCATTTATAGACAATTTGTCTTACCGACTGATGAACATCAAGGCTTTTAGAGATACTTTTGTAACCCTTTCCAGCTTTATGCAAGTCAACCATTCTTAATCATAGGTCTTCTGAGAGCTCTTTTGTGCGAGGCATGGTTCACATCTGGCAATGCTTCTTAAGAATAGCAAATTCAAAACTGGTGTGTATTTTTTATAGCGCAGGGCAGCTTTATCCAACACCTCCAATCTCGTCTCATTGATTGGACTCCAGGTTGGCTGACTCCTGACTCCAATTAGCTCTTGAAGAAGTCTTTAGCCTAGGGGTTCACATACTTCTTCCACCCTGCACTGTGAATGTTTACATGGTGTGTTCAATAAAAACATGAAAACATATAATTGTTTGTGTGGTATTAGTTTAAGCAGACTGTGTTTGTCTATTGTTGTGACTTAGATGAAGATCAGAACACATTTTATGACCAACTTATGCAGAAATCCAGGTAATTCCAAAGGGTTCACATACTTTTTCTTGCAACTGTAGATATGTTAAATATTAGATGGGGTCAAAGATAAGAGGAATAAGAGATTTTATGTTGAGTTGACACGGCTTTAGTGCATGTCCACAGTGTGTGTGAATTTGGTCCATAATGTTGACAGTATGTGAGGTACAGCTATGTCTTACAAGCTACTTTTAATAATTAAACTCTGGTTGTCTTTTTCCCCTGACCCTTTTTTATGATTGTTTAGATAAATAGTAGCTCTTGAAATGATCTTTTCAATACCAACTAAGCAACATTGTTTATCAGTGAACCTTTGCACTGATCTTCTGTTCACTCTTATATCAGCTTGTAAGCATGAACATCGCACTGTCAGACCTCAGTTTTATGATGTATTGTAAGAGGGATTGTTTTGGTTTTAGCTTGTTATTCTGCCTCTAAATCCTCTGTTAATCTAGAAGCCTTTGTAACACATTTAAAGACAGTAACTTTGACTCTTGGGGGTGATTGACTTTTGACACTGATACTCAGACATTGTCACAAGCTTAGTCACGTGACCAACATGTTGACATTTTGGATTTATCTGAAGTTGAACTTTACTCCCCCCCCCCCCCCCATTACTCAGTAAATACAAATTGAAGCCAATTTGTCAACTGCAGCACTGTGATGTGGAAATCTGAAATGACTTTTCACCGAATTAGGAGACATCTAGTTATTTTTTCATATTCTTAGAATTAGTCATTTTAACTTCCTTTTTTGTTGAAACACCATAACTGAAGAATCCTTTAAGCCAGCTTTATACATTTAGTGGCTAGCATACCTAGCTAATGCAGTCTAATACACCTGCAATAAATCCCACCTTCAGGAAAGTTATAAGGCTGTTATAATGCTATATATAGTACTAGTATATAATACTGTAGGGTCATTTTGGAGGCTGGAGTGTGTGATGCTGTTGGATTGTATTGTATGATGTTTCTATTATTTTGTCCTCCCTTTTTACATGCCTGGTGGAAGGTTAAATAACAAATACCTCTCAGTATAACACTGAGAGTTCAACAGCAGCCTAAAAAATACCATCAACACTTCTCTGAAACAAAAACACTTTCATGAAGGTAACATTTACTGTAAGACTGTTATAGAAGAATGCATTAGCTAGCAGCTGAGAGCATGTTTTCAAAACACGTCTGGAGGGGTATTTCTTAAAAAAAGGGACTTATTTCTGGCACAAAACAGCCAGTGAATCAGAAATAACGCCAGAAAATTCATTGGAACATCAGTACTGTTGTGGTTAGCAAAGCAATGGGATGCATTCCACTCTCTCTGTTATTCGTTAAATAAAGACTGTCAGCACTAGATTAATATTAGTGTAAGCAGAATCATACACCTGACAACTCAGAGTGAACATGTGGAATAAATAGTGAAGCAGCTGAGGTCGGCAGAAAACGAGAATCAAGCGTTGTGTTCTGACAAAAAAGACTCCAAGTTCAGAAACCACACAGGAATCCAGAAGACAGCGAGGGTGTGTCGTTATGTAAAACATCTGGAAGATTCCATCAACACAACACACTCATCCAAGCAGCAGTTACTTTAAAAATGAAATTTATTTATTAATACAGTGGTATACTTAGAAATGTGTTGCAAAGGAAAACAAAAGAAGTTGAACCGAATAAAAATAAAAATAAATAAAAATAAATGTCAGCCACACGGGAAATAAACTAGTGTTGGGTTGAAGCAGTGTTATCATATCAAAAGAAAGTAGTACCGATGTGCCATAATAAATTGTCTATTAGTACAAAAATACATTTCAGGGCACACAATACAGCATCCAGTATCACAAATAAAGGGAGGGACCACTCTTCACAGCAGACCCCCTCAAGTACATCTTTTAAAATCATTTAAACCAAGCACTTCTCTATTTTGTAAATAAGAATAAAAAGTTTTCTGACTGTTTAAAAATGCCTTAAGTAGTGTGTGTATATGTTGGTAGAAAAGTCAGACTTATTACTGCTTATGTCAGTTCCAAGGCTCAGGGGTATAACCAGAATACAAACATAACCAATGTAACCGCTTTCTCTTTTTTTAAACAAACGTTTTCTCTTTTATACAAAATAACAAAGATGTACAAAAGTTCATTTACAGAGAACCAAGGCCATATACTAGCAATATGTACAGCCACAATTTAAACATCTTCTAGCTTTTTGTATTTCCTCAGACTTCATATGCATAGCAGTAAAAGAAAGCATACCTTTTCATCAGCCTCAATTATTCTCGTGTGCTAAATCCAAGTTCACCGTTTATGAGAAAATGCAGAGACAACTTTATCTTCCGTAGTGATCGCTATAACTGAAGGATCCGATGTTTTTAAAGTTTCACTGAAAAGTTAATATGCAGATAAGGCATCACTGCTTGCAGTGTACGATGGGATTTTCATGTGTTGAACTTAGTAGTAGCAGGCTTCTGGACCTGAGTCATAGCACATGCATAGATCTCTAGACAGCAGGAGTTTGTAAAATCAAGTCAGTATATTTATCTACGGTAAAACATTGCTACAAAACATCAGTTTAAACAGAGAGAGCCTCGTCAGAACCAACGGGCGTCTCAGACTAATACTTAACCTTCATTCTTCTTTATTATTATTTTTTTTCCTTCATGAGTCAGGCTCATTTCTCAAGTCCTCAGAGATCCTTCACGAGTGAAACGCATGACCACATAACTCACAAACAAAAGTTTTGCATATACTAACTTTGCTGTTTGTGAGTGTTTCTTTTTTTTTACAGTACGGAAAAAATCCCATTGCAATATTAAATGAGTTTCCAAAGTTCTCCTTTCTCTTGCACTGCTCTGACCTTTTACAAAATGAGCTAAAAATGTCAAAACGAGAGTATTCAGTCTGTGGCACGGGTCATGCATTCCAACTTCAGTTCCTTTAAATAACTTGTTTTTAATCTTCATTTTTTGCAAGCCTTGAAAGCACCGGGGGAGAAAAACAAAGTAAAGAACAAGAGTACAGCGTTGGGGGTGCTGGACTCCTCCTTGTGTAGTGTTTTCTTTTTTTCTTAATGTTTGGGCACAGTAAACAACATGAGAGTGTCAGGTTGGTACTTCATCGCCCCCCCCCGTGGAGAGGGAGCACGGCAGGGGGAACTGCGCTCCTCTGTTTTCACATTCAGTAACAGGCCAGCTGTCGCCCTCTTCAGAAGTGGTCAATGAGCACTGACACACAGTTTGCACCCACCAGGTAGTTGGGGTCTCCGGGGAGAGATTTGTTCTGCCAGGTTTTGGGATCACCTGCAGGGAAACAGAGACATGATGTCAGCCGCTGGAGGAACTGCTTTACTCTTTAAATAACAGATACAAAACACAGAAGATGCTCGAAACACACATTTGAGGATGAGTGAATGCATACATTAATGCAGGAAATGAAATCCCTTTGCTCATCATGACTTCATGTAATCACTTGATGCTTAATGGATCATTTAATGAATGTTAACTCAGTTACTTCATGCATGTTTATATGCTTCCAAATGAGTTGGATTCAAATGACAGAGTCTGGTTAGCTTTTGTAAAAGCACAAAACTACCAGTTCTCATAGAAATGTGTTTTTCTGGTTGTCAGACGTGAAATTCTACATGTAGCTGCATGACCCAACGTCATCTTTCATGAGGCGGATGGCTTCAGGCTTTTTTCTCCTTAAGTCCTTTCCTACAGTAACTTTAGTTCCGAGTAATCTTTTGACAAGCAAGAAGAATGTATAGAGCGTTGTCTCTGCAAACATGAAGTTCTTTTAGTTTTATTTTAGTCAAAAAAATGTATAGGATTGCAAAGCTCAAACAGTGGAGAAAAATAATGAAAATAAATGATTGTTATTGTTACTATTACATTATTATTGTCAAGATTGTTTTATCCATTCATAAGGAAAAGCTATTCTTAAAACCCAACACCATTTAACAGAATGTTGCTCCTCAAAATAATTGATTTGCATGTTTAAGAATAGCAGTTTTGGAAAAGGCTGATCATTAATTTCATCACCAGTTGTACTTCGATGATTGTAAGAGAGATGGAGGATTTGGACCGTAT